ATATTAAATTGTTGTGTGAGAAGTATCCACAAAAACTAATTAGTCTCTTGAGGAAATAGCTTGCCTTCATAAACAATAATATCTTGTTACCTAGGATTGTTTTGTTAAAAATTCAATTACATTTTTGTCTCTTACTAGCCAACTGTCTTCAATATTGACCCCTATTAATGCTTGATGACAATCAGAAGGCTAAGAAGTACACACTTTTGTTTTTTTGTTGCTGTGTTTTGTTAGATAGGCAGAATTGAAATTCTGAATTCAATGAACAAATGCATTTTCATTTTGAATAATTCTAATATTTAAAAAAGATTTCCCAAATGTGCACAATGGTTTCATCTATAAAAACATAAAAAAATTGTATTTCAAGCTGAAAAAGATTTATGAAGCTTCATTGTTATTTTATTCTGTATATATTCAGGTTACATTTATAATATAAGGCTTTCCTTGTTTTACTATCTATTCAGTATTTAATGATAAAACTTAATCTCTTTCTTTTTGCAACCGGAAGAAAATCTTTAAATGTGTTGTTTCCTTAGGTTATTTTGATATCACCCTCAAACATGCAGCACTCGTTATATATATGGATTCTAAAGTTTCATTTTTTGTTCATACATGAATCCTTAATATTTTGTGATATTTTTAGTTCACCTCAACTTATTTGCAGAAATGCATCATTTGCACCAATTAAAAAAATGACTTCTCTCCTTTATCTGTGCTTTGGACCAGCAGTTTACATTGGCAAAGTTAAAGTAATTTTAGTCATTTAATAGCACATTTTAAAACATAAAACTTTATAATCAGACTTCATAATTATATTACAGGCTGGAATTTGACACATGCACATGGCACAAACATCATGTATATAAGGCTTAGTTCAACTTTGGTATAATTCTGGCCACTGGACATTAAGCAACCAACAATCAATCAATCAATCAATCAATCAATCAATCAATCTTATACTAATACTTTTGAATGGCAATTGTTTCCTTTTATGAGATATGCCTACTTCCAACTGCTGCTTCAAAGGTACTAAGGTATTGAATGAAGGTAGTGGCTTGAAATTTCAAGATATTGTCCAAAAATGCAAACATGGATGGATGTGATGAATAAAACAGATAATTTTAGTGCTTATGAAATGCCTTTCCCTTCAGTGAACAATTTGCATAATATGTGTTTATCTTTTAATCTATGTACATATTTTGAGTTACAACATATCGATAGATTATTTATTCATGTTCTATGCAATTTGCAATTTTATGCTCTCCTTTCAATTGATTTTCAAGCAACAATATTAGTCCCATTTATTCCATAAATTGTATACTAGTATACTTTTAAAGGTACCACATTTTATTTATGATTTTTATGTATGATAAATACGTGTACAGGTAAATTGGTGCAATAGAATTCCCTATATTGGCGCAAATGATACATTTCAAAAATAACAATTGGCACAAAAGGACTGCTGCCTTTAATCTTGTATGCAGATGTTTCTTTGAGACATTTATATCATCATGTGCCATTAGCCTGATAAGATGAAAGTTACTGGACACTCTTGGAGACATTTATATCATCATGTGCCATTAGCCTGATAAGATGAAAGTTACTGGACACTCTTGGAGACATTTATATCATCATGTGCCATTAGCCTGATAAGATGAAAGTTACTGGACACTCTTGGAGACATTTATATCATCATGTGCCATTAGCCTGATAAGATGAAAGTTACTAGACACTCTTGGAGACATTTATATCATCATGTGCCATTAGTCTGATAAGATGAAAGTTACTGGACACTCTTGGAGACATTTATATCATCATGTGCCATTAGCCTGATAAGATGAAAGTTACTGGACACTCTTGGAGACATTTATATCATCATGTGCCATTAGTCTGATAAGATGAAAGTAATGGGACACTCTTGGAGACATTTATATCATGTGCCATTAGTCTGATAAGATGAAAGTTACTAGACACTCTTGGAGACATTTATAATATCATGTGCCATTAGCCTGATAAGATGAAAGTTACTGGACACTCTTGGAGACATTTATATCATCATGTGCCATTAGCCTGATAAGATGAAAGTTACTGGACACTCTTGGAGACATTTATATCATCATGTGCCATTAGCCTGATAAGATGAAAGTTACTGGACACTCTTGGAGACATTTATATCATCATGTGCCATTAGCCTGATAAGATGAAAGTTACTAGACACTCTTGGAGACATTTATAATATCATGTGCCATTAGCCTGATATGATGAAAGTTACTGGACACTCTTGGAGACATTTATATCATCATGTGCCATTAGTCTGATAAGATGAAAGTTACTGGACACTCTTGGAGACATTTATATCATCATGTGCCATTAGCCTGATATGATGAAAGTTACTGGACACTCTTGGAGACATTTATATCATCATGTGCCATTAGTCTGATAAGATGAAAGTTACTGGACACAATTCTCATGATTCAGTGGCATTGTTTAGTTTTTTAGCTCCATTTCTTACATTAACATGTTTAATGGAAAAGAAGTGATAAGGTGTATTAATTCATAATACAAAGTATAATACTTCAACACACTTTATTGCTGATCTTTGATCTCAAAGTCATAATCAGGCCATCTTTAATAGCCAAGGGTTACCCTATGGTTCTCCCTCTTCAGCTTTTGAAGACTAAGTCAGAATTTGTGTATACAGTATTGTGCCTTTTAGGACAGATAGAAATCATGCCAACTCCAAATACATAATTCTTAACAATTCACAGCACATTTTTTATGCCCCACCTACAAGAGTACAGGGGCATTATGTTTTTCGGTCTGTACATCCGTTCCTTCGTTCGTTCGATTGTTCGTTCGCAGAAACCTCATATGCATGATATGTATGTTGACATTTCATTATTTGCATGAGGAGCATACCGAAGAAGTTCAATTGATTGACTTTTAAAGTGTCACTAAAAATCACCCTTTATTTTGGGGTTAAAGACTTTTGGAACAATCAGCAGATGGCAATTGTTTATTTGCATTTTCTACATTTACACCTGATCATTTTAAATGCACTTATTGATTAGATTCAGCCAGTTACGACTGCAACCAACTCATTGATCCGAAATTTTGACTCATTCTGATTTTTTGTTCATTGTTGTGTACATAAATCAGGCCATTAGTTTTCTTGTTTGAATTGTTTTAATTTACATTTGTCATTTTGGGGCCTTTTATAGCTGACAATGTGGTATGGGTTTTGCTCATTGTTGAAGGCTGTACGGTGACGGTTAACTCCTATGTCATTTAGTCATGGGTGGAGAGTCGTCTCATTTACAATCATACCACATCTTATTATACGCTCGTTTACGGGACGTATTATGGTATACCGTTATCCGTCTGTCCGTCCGTCGTCAACATGTCGGACATTAACTCAAAAACGCTTTAACCAATTTGCATAAAACTTTGGTGAATTATATATATCTATTGACGTGAGCTCCCTTTTTTTTTTATAAATTTCCAATTTTACGTTTCCGAGTTATGAGGTTTTATTCATTAAAAAAGGGGGATTTTCCAGTTTTGGACAATAACTCCAAAATACTTTCACCAATTTGCAAGAAATTTTGGTGAATTGTTTATATCTGTTGACATGAACTCCCTTTCCATTTTCATAAATTTTAGATTTTACGTTTCTGAGTTATGGGGTTTTATTCATTTAAAAAAGGGGCCAGTTTACAGTTTTCGGGCAAAAACTCCAAAATGCGTCTAGCAGTTCTCAAGAAACTTTGGTGAATTGTTTATATCTATTGAGGTAAGCTCCCTTTCGAATTTTATAAATTTTAGATTTTACATTTCCGAGTTATGGTGTTTTATTCATTAAAAAAGGGGGGATTTTCCAGTTTTCTGACAATACCTCAAAAACGCTTTCAGCAGTTCTCATGAAACTTTGGTGAATTGTTTAAATCTATTTACAAAAGCTCCCTTTTGATTGTCATACATTTCTGACATGACATTGAGAAGTGATTGAACTTTATTCTTTGAAAATGCGACTGGCGTATCATGCCCTCATGGCCCAGCTGTTTATTGTTAAAAATTTATCTGCTAAAGGTGAAGATGAGGTGATCGAATTATAACCCTTGGCTAATGAAGATGTGCAGCCAGGCATACAATATCAATTTGTCCCTAAATGAAGATTTTTTACAAATTGTTGCATTTTTGCCTATAATTTTGAAACTATAACACCTAGAAAGAAATTGTTAAACAGCAAAAAAATGATCAGAAATACTAGGTTTACAGAAATGCCAATATGACTGAAACCATTTATTGCCTTACAGAGTCATTGCTCTTAGAAGACTATTTTATTTTGGACACATATATGCCTTTTTGCCTTTTATCTTGAACCTTATTTTAGAGAGCTGACTGTAATTGTTATGAGCAAAAATTATCATCAATACAAGATCTACAAAATTGGTAATATGACTGAAACCATAAATTGAGTATCAGAGTAGTTGTTGCTCTTAAACTTTAAGCAATAGATCAACTCTAATTTGTGCATTGCATAATTATACATGTAAATGTATATGTTAATCTGACAGGGTCTTCTAACCTTGACCTAAATTTTCATTGTTCATTTGTTAGCATTAATTTTTTTTTATTATTCTGTTCTCAGATACTTGAATTGATAGGTCAGCCATATTCCATGTTTAAAGTGATGTTAAGGTGTACAAATCAGTCTGATACCTCCTGTATTAAGAAAACTGAGACTGAGTTATTAATTAACTTCAAAGTTTAAGTCTGAAAGGGTTTATCTAACTTTGACCACATTTTCATGGATTATTGGAAAGGCTTATAAATGTTATATGATATCTGTAATAAAGTATTGATCTTATACTTTTAACATAAAATTCAATCATTATCAGTAAAGCAGGTGAGACATTTCAGTGTGTGTGGACTTTTTGATTTCTCTTTATCAATTTATAATAGTTTAAGAGTTCTGTATTATTGTTTGTTTCTTTCAGCAATTATCTAAACAAACAGATTTGTCAGTAAGACAGATAGAAAGATGGTTTCGTGTTCGAAGAAATCAAGACCGTCCCAGTATGATGTGTCGCTTCACAGAGGCAGCGTAAGTTGTTATATATCAGCGATGCCTTGCATTTCAAATAACTGGTTGTGAGTCATCTACAAACTTAAGATATCTCTTCTAGTCAGGTTTAGGTTCAGATGCATCTGGTAGATAAGGATCAAATTAAAATAAAGGTTTTAGGGAGCAGGCCTGTTGTATTCCAAGTACTGGTAAGTGAGATTGGCAATCCTGGATTTTAAATGGGCACTTTCAAAAATAATATTCTCTGAGACAACCAGCTAACATTTTGAAAAACTATATATCTGCAAACTTACACATGTATTAGGATTGATGAATGGAATATTGTTTGAAAGGATCTTCATGTGGTTCTGATGTATGGGTTAAAGTAACTGACCCCAAAGGCATTCTTAGATTCAGTTTGAACAATTTTGATTAACATCTTACAGAGACATATGTCAGTTTTATGTATAGATACCATTTGAGTGATTTTGGCTGCATGGAGCCTCTAGTTAATTTTTCTCCCATTATATTTAACCGGATTTTCGAAGGAAAAATCGGTTATTGATTTGGGGATGTACGGCGGGCAGGCGGGCAGCTGCCAAATAGTGTCCGTTCATTAACATGAAAACACTTTGACGAAATTTTTTTCAAATTTAGATATGTTGTTTCCTGTGACTAAAGGAAGGTCAAGTTCAATTTTCATGATTGCAGCTTTTCTTGTTGTTGAGTTATAGCCCTTTCCCAAGAACTCAATTTTTGATGAATTATTCCATTTCTGTACAAAGGGAAATAACTCATTTTTTAAAAGATTTTTAAAAGACATTGTATTAATGATAAATGACATTTTGGATTTTTTTTCTTTTCTTTGGTAAATTGTTTGAAGAATTTTGTGGTAGATTTGTTTGTTATTCTGTATAAGCTAATTTTCTGAATGCTATATATATGATTTTTTTTTATGAAGTTAACTCCTTTAATTAGATAATAATCTAATTTTATTAAAGGATATATTTCATTACATAACATTGTGAAGATAATGTTGTTGACATTGTTAGATAAGTTGCAGATCTGTATTACTTTGTAGCAAATGAAAGAAAAAATATTTGGAACTATTAATTATATTTGATTATAATTTGAAAATAGATATACATTGTGTAACATCATATCTAATTTTAGAGAGTTAAATCATATCTAATTTTAGAGAACTATGTTTGCTTTATTAGTTATCTTCTTATCTACCACAGGTACCTTTACAGTTCACTACTACACACTGCTGATTAGTTAACTACTGCAGCTGAATTGTAGGTTAACTACCAGAGATAATTTGCAGTGAGAGAATTTTTCACAAATTGTTAAGGCTGTGTTATGAGTACTCTGATTAAATATTTAATTAATCAGTTTTTATTGTATATTAATTTAAAAATGAAACAAATACCAAATCAATTTGTTTCATTTCCTTATCAAGCTTGAAAGCTGCCGTAAACGGACGTAAACAATTTCAAAGTATTTGTCCATGTTTGGTTCATCCTCTGGAGACTCGCAATCTTGTTCCGACAAACTAAACTATCCATTCCTATACTTCCAATTTTGCTTTCTAATTGCATAAATCCTTCAAATTCTTCACTTTCGCTATCCGATTTGAATAAGAAGCCCATTCATCCGCCATTGTTTTAATCGCATTCCAAACAAGTGTAAATTTCATCATAATTAAATGTAAACACACACAATTTATAGAAAAGGAATGTACAAGTTGAAAGATTATTCATTTGTAAAACCGAATTTCATTGCAATTGGTTCATTTCGGGATTCCCCAACAGTTTTGTCCAATCTAAAGGGTTTTAACAGTGGTATATTTTACGGAAATATCCGTCACTGGGACTGCGCAAGTGTATGTTTACAGCGGATCTATCAGTCACTGCGAATACACACTTGATTATGCAAGCGGATTTATCAGTCACTGCACTGCGGACAGAACGATGATAAAAACCGCGTAGATATCCGTCAGTGGTAGATAAAGAGTTAAACCATATTTCTGTTCAAAGGGAAATAACTCAAACTTATTCCATGAAGTTGAACCAGTAATGATAAATTAAGTACATGTATATGGATTCTGTTCAATTAATTTTAGTCATTAGTTGTCAAAATTTCTTTATAACTATTTTCTTTAAGTCATGTGTGTTATGAAGGTAGATGTCACAGTTGTTATGTGGTATTTTATTTTTGTTGTATGTGTTAATGTTTAATTTTTACATGATTCAGATTTGCAAATATCATTTTCATTATTAATTAGATAATAATCTATTTTAAATATTCAATCACAATCCAAATTCAGAGCTGTTTTAATGCTTAAATGTTGTGTCCATGCTTGCTCAACTGTTCAGGGTTTGACCTCTGCAGGAAAATCCGGTTTGCTGTCACTCGACAGCCTCTTGTTTAGGATTTACCATGCATAGTTAACATTGATTTTGCCTTTTTCTACAATTTTTGGTAGGCGTTATGTATCCATATCTCATTCTAAACCACTAATTACAATTCAATGATACTAACACAGAATCTTTTTAACATAAATTCTGTTTTGACCTCCAGTTTTATTATATTTTTTGAGCTAACAGTGGATATGAATTGTTGGAGTAAAGATTGCATAAAATGCAATTAAAACCCTTTTGGTACTGACTTAATCTCTAAATCTTCCAGGTTTTAGCACTCCTTTTGATAGTTAAAACAATATAGTGCAGTGAGGTTCACGAACATTCTTTAGATCCATGCATTTCACCCAATGTCATGCAATTAATAAGTCCCCTACCTAGGAAGTCGAAGGGGACTTTAGGTTTGCACTCTGTCCGTCTGTCTGTCCGTCCGTTCATCTGTCTGTCCATCCTCAACATGTCGTACAATAACTCAAAAAATGTTTTAACCAATTTGCATGAAACTGTGGTGAATTGTTTATATCTATTGACATGAGCTGCCTTTCTATTTTTATAAGTTTTAGATTTTATGTTCCCCAGTAATAGGGTTTTATTCATTAAAAAAGGGGGATTTTCCAGTTTTCAGACAATAAATCAAAAATGCTTTGAGCAGTTTTCATGAAACTTTGATGAATTGTTTATATCTATTGATGTAAGCTCCCTTACGATTTTATAAATTTTAGATTTTACGTTTCCGAGTTATGGGATTTTATTCATAAAAAGGGGGGGATTTTCCAGTTTTAAGACAATAGCTCAAAAGTGCTTCGAGCAGTTTTCATGAAACTTTAATTACTGGTTTATATCTATTAAAATAACTTCCCTTTAGTTTTTTTATGAATTTCTGATATGACATTGAGGAGTAATGGAACTTTATTCTTTGAAAAAGCAACGGGCATATATGCGCTCTTGGCGCAGCTGTTTATTATAAATATATCATGTTTTGGAAATTCAGCAACATGTTAATGATACTGTCATGTATAATATATCATTTAATAATTTATAAGTTTAAAAAAAAGAGTTTGAATGTCCTTTGGTATCTTTCGCCTCTCTTTTATGATCATTTGAATAGTTTAAATCCTCTTGTAATACTGTGTCTGAGTAATTATAGACGGTCCGATTGAATTGTTTCATATTTTGCATGTCAGGGCCTTTTATAGCCGACTATACGTTATGGGTTTTCTCATTGTTGAAGGCTATACGGTTGCCTATAATTGCATATATCCATTTATTTTGATCTTTGGTGGATAGTTGTCTCATTGGGAATCATACTGCATCTCCTTATTTTCATAATGCATCAATTTTCACTTACATCAAACATGGATGTCTACCTGTTCAAAGCTGTTGTACTATTTCATGTTCAGCAGGATCTTTATTTGAGCCGGCTACTAGTTTACCATTTTTGTACTGGAAATGTTGTGAAAAGATTCAACAGGGTGTCTGAGAACAAATTGAGAAGCAAAGAAGGGTAATATAAGAACTAGGATTTGAGATATATAAAAACATGAAGCACCAAATTTATGTTAATTTCTGATCGCTAGCTTGCATAAAATGCTTTTCATAGATTTTATTTTTTTTATATTTCAAAAATAATATTGCTCGCTAGTAAAAAATTCTTTCGCCTGCCAAAAATCAAACTTTGAAAAAAAAAATTTTTTCTCTCGCTCGCTACCCTTTTTGTCTCGCCTGCGACAAAAGTTGCGGAAAGCAACACATAGGGATTGCTTTTCCGGCTACGGCTGCTATGACGGCGTCAACAATTGTTCAGTTTTCTGCTTAAGTAAGTTTGATAGAAACAACTTGTGATAGATCAAAGATATTTTATATGAAGATGCATTACTATCAATACATATCAGTTTGATGACAATTTTGAGGCCCTGCCCCTAAGGCCATGGTCCAGTGACTGATTTTATTAGCCATTTTCAATGTTAAGTTTTATGCTTAAGTTAGTTTGATAGGAATTTCTTGTATTAACTCAATGATATTTTGTATGAAGTTGCATTACTATCAGTATATATCAGTTTGACGACTATTTTGAGGCCCTGCCCCCTAGGCCATGGTCAGGTGACTTTGAATTAATTAACAATTTTAAAAGATAAGTTTTCTGCTTAAGTTAGATTGATAGGTACTGGTGACAAATCAATGATATTTTGTGTGAAGTTGCATTGCTATCAGTACATATCAGTTTGACAACTATTTTGGGACCCTGCCCCCTAGGCCATTGTTCAAGTTAGATTGCTGTTTGTACATCTCAGTTTATCAACCATTTCGAGATCTTACCCACTAGTTGGTCCAGCAACTTTGAATTAATCAGCACTGTTGCTGTCCATCAGATTGTCTTTTTCTGAATTTTATGTCGACAGGTGAGACATATCTCTGTGTCAACAGTTTATTTAAGGAAAGAGTCCGAAGAACTAGAAATTAATTTGGTGTGGCCTAAATTGTAATGTAATTGCCAATGAGACAACTCTCCACTAGAGACCAAATATGTCGAATTTAACAACTAAAGGTCACAGCAGACCTTCTATAATGAGCAAAACTCATACTGCATAGTAAGCTATAAAAGCTTTATTTATTTATTTTTTTTTTTTAACATTTTTCATGTCATGGCCTGTTATAGCTGACTATAAGGTATGGCATTTTTCTCTTGTTGAAGGATATCCACGTTATTAGGTGGATAGTTGTTTCATTTGCAATCCTACCACGTCTCCTTATTTCTATATTTTTGTAACAATAATTGTATTTACATATCTACAGTGCAGACAAAATGAAAATGCGGGGGAAAAAATTGGAGCAATAAGTACAGTTGTTGTAAAATATAAATACATTTGTCTCTAATGTTTTTGCTAAATTTTTAACTCTTTAGACAGTAAAAAGCAAAAACAGAAAAAGATGCATTTAGCAGTCAGCAAACATTTAAAAAATTTGACAAGTATATTTACCTTATGTCCCCAGACCATATGCATTTATATATTTATAAAAATATGGAGATGTGGTATGATTGCCAATGAGACAAGTATCCTTCAGAGACCAAATAAAATTGATGTAAACAACTATAGGTCACTCAGTGTTCTTGAAGACTGTCTGTCCTGTTGATTCTGACCACCAAATATACATTCACCAATTTGGAGTGTAGAGGTGGTCCTGATGTCTAACAAAAGTTTGTTGTGGTTTTATTCTTTTTTTAGGCTGTCTAGTATTTAGTATAGCTCCTGATTACAATGCATTGTATATCAATATTTGAAATGGAACCATATAGTTATTGTGCAAATTTGTCTTTATCTTATTTATATTAACGTTAACATGTATGGAAATAAGTGATAGCAAAAACATTTCTGCAAAAACAAACCAACAAATGTTCACTTGGTTCATAGTCTTGAGAACCACTAGGCTAATAAAGATTTTGAGAAGTCTGGGTCACTGTACAGCCTTCAGCAATGAGCAAAACCAATTCCATAAAGTAAGCTAAAAAAATCTCAGTGTGACAAAATCTGATACAGTTTAAGAGTTAATCAGCTGCCTGATTTATGCTTAAAACAATAAACGAAAAACAAATGCGGGAGACAGCAACCATTTGTTACTTTATATTGATATTTTCATATATTTCTCTTGCAGATGGAGGTTTACCTTCTATTTCAGTATCTTTATGTATGGAATATGGGTTTTATGGGATGTAAGTATGACATTAAACTCCTCAAAACAACAGGTTCATGAAACAACTAATGAGAAATAAATAGTCTCAGATATGAACATGTATTACAAGAATAAATGCCATATCAATTTTCATGTCTTTCAGTGCTATACAGTCTCAATAGGCACTGTCTAGTTGACTAAGCATGTATTTCAAACTATTCTCCAGCTGTATTTTGTGAGTACCCACAATAAAGTGAAGTGATCAGTACAATATTTAGATTCTATCAATGGCCATAGCAAGCAATTTATTAATAAAATTTGTTATAAAAAATGGGGACACTCATGTACAAATTTGATGATATTTTCCAGAAAGAATGGTTTGCAGATTCTACTTATTGCTGGAAAGGATATCCTTATCATGTAAGTTTTTTTTAGAAAAAGTCGTATCTTCTACTCCTTACTTAGAAACCATGTCTTAAAATAAGAAATAAAAAATGTTTGATGTTTTACCTATTAACAAATATATGTTATAGTGAATTTTGTAGAGAATAAATATATGAGTATTTTCAAAGTCAAACGAACAATGTTTGGTAATGCAAAGGTCATATATATATCCTTATTTTGATTTTTGACAATTTCTTGCATGAGTTACGTGCTGTAATTTGATCATTTTATACTCCCATGTGCACTCTAATGGCATTCACTTTGTCTAACAAATATTTCTATCACACTTTTATCAGATTACTATTGTCCGGAATATGACTTCATATTTGTTCAGCAGCTGGACAGTAATCAGGTGTAACCTGTGACCATTTTTTCAGATCAGTCAGACACCTACTTTCTGTTTGTCGATTTTATATCGGAGAAATTTTACAGTATGTTGAATGAACTTAAATTTCTTTTCACACTGTTCTCAAGTAATACTGAACAAAATGACTTCATATTTAGTCAGCAGCTTCGCAGTGATGAATTGTATGGAGTGAGCTCTTTTACGACTCTATCAGAAACCTACTTCCTGTTTTCTGATACTCTGAATTACGATTAGGTGTGTGGTTAGCACAGCATCACAAGCAATCTTGTTACTAGTGCACCACAACGACACCTTGTAAAAAAGACTCTTCTAGGAAGATTTGACAGAAAACTTTCAAACTTTGTAGAATTGTTGTTAATATCAAGTGTAGTCAACCATAATAAATTTACATTTCAGTACCTGTCTTCTGGAATATTTTGGTATTATCAAATAGAGATGTCCTTTTACTGGTCATTACTGTTTTCACAGTTTTTTGATATAAAGAGAAAAGTAAGTATTCATTCATTTTATCAGACATACATACAGCTACACAGCTGTCTTTGATATTTATATCAGTAACTTTATAACATCCTAGTGTTTTATATATATGTGTGAATAGTGAGTTAGAAAACTCATATCGCATGTCCATACACAAAACATGTTGATCAAATTTTAATTGACTACATTTGCCAGTTTTTATACGACCGCAAAAAAATTTTGTGGTCGTATATTGGTATGACGTTGGCGTCGTCGTCGTCCGGCGTTGTCGTCGTCGTCGTCCGAAGACACATTAGTTTTCGCACTCTAACTTTAGTTTAAGTGAATGGATCTCAATGAAATTTTACCATAAGGTTCAATACCACAAAAGGAAGGTGGGGATTGATTTTGGGGGTTATGGTACTAACAGTTAAGGAATTAAGGGCCAAAAAGGGGCCAAAAATAAGCATTTTTGTAACTTCCAGACATAACTTGTGTGTAAGTGTATGGATCTCTCTGACATTGTACCACAAGGTTTCATATCACAAAGGGAATGCTGGGATTGATTTTGGGGGTAATTGCCTCCAAATTTTAGGAATTAGGGGCCAAAAAGGGGCAAAAAACAAGCATTTTTCTAGTTTCATGACAATAACTTGTGTGTAAGTGTATGGATCTCTCTGACATTGTATCACAAGGTTCCATATCACAAAGGGAATACTGGGATTGATTTTGGGGGTAATTTCCTCCAAATTTTAGGAATTAGGGGCCAAAAAGGGGCAAGAAACAAGCATTTTTCTAGTTTCATGACAATAACTTGTTTGTAAGTGTATGGATTTTTATGAAATTGTACTACAAGGTTCCATATCACAAAGGGAAAGCTGGAATTGAGTTTGGGGGTAATTGCCCAAAAAGTTTAGGAATAAGGGGCCAAAAAGGGGCAAAAATAAGCATTTTTCTAGTTTCCAGACAATAACTTGTGTTCAAGTGTATGGATCTCTCTGAAATTGTACTGCAAGGTACTATACCACAAAGGGAAGGCTGGGATTGATTTTGAGGGTAATTCCCTCAAAATTTTAGTAATTAGGGGCCATTAAAGGGCAAAAAAACAAGCATTTTTCTAGTTTCCATCCAATAACTTGTGTGTAAGTGTATGGATCTTTATGAAATTGTACTACAAGGTTCCATATCACAAAGGGAAAGCTGGGTTTGAGTTTGGGGGTAATTGCCCTAAACGTTTAGGAATTTCGGGCCAAAAAGGGGCCGAAAAACAAGCATTTTTCTAGTTTCCAGACAATAACTTGTGTTCAAGTGTATGGATCTCTCTGAAATTGTACTGCAAGGTACCATACCACAAAGGGAAAGCTGGGATTGAGTTTGAAGGTGATGAATCATAAGGGGGTTAAAAAAATTTAGGGGGGGGATTTTGTTTTCATTTTTTTTATTTAAAATTTTCCATTTTAAATTTGTTATTTCTGATTTATATATAAAAGCAAATAATAATGATATGGTTTGAATAGCATACATGTGAACCTCCCAACGGGAGTACAATAATCCCGTTTTCAGGGGTCTCCTCCCGTTGAAGAGGAAAAAATCCTTTGTATGAAATTTTTTATGAATGAAAAATTTCTGCCCAACATATCTCAGGCATCTGGTGTAACTGACATTACCTGAAGTTATATTTTACCTGTAAATCAATTAAGTAAACATGCATAATTATATGGCTTCACTTGTCAGCTTGGGTGTCAAACATACTGGTAATCAACGATTTTTACCTCAGGCTAACTGCCGTTGTGTAACAAAAACTGTGTATTTATTGGGTTACTTCCCTTGATTTATATATCCTGTTTTAAGTTACTTTCCTTTTAATAATGAAAATTTTTAAAAGAATATAAATAAAATATAAATTGAACAAATAATCATAAAAGGATGGTAATTAAATGATTTTAAATGTCTTAGGACAAATAAAAAAATAATAATTTGAAAATTATTTGAGGATTCTATACTTCCTTTCAAGGCTTAAATTGAAATTTATATAATAACTATGACCCTTGTTATACAGTTAGAATGATTTTCTGAGTATGCAAATAAAAACTATTTGCAGATAGTTAAACAAATGTTCTGGTTGCAATGATTGTTTTATAGAATATGAAGTAAAAAATTTAAAGAACATACTGAAAAAAAAAACAATGTTAGATTGAACATGTAGAACATAAAGATGGAGAAACTTTATAAGTACAAGGGTACTATAAACATAATAAATTGGATGGAAAGTTGAAGAAAACACACTTTAAAAGACCATTTTTACAGCACACGGTTACATTTACAACAAAATTTATGTCGATTAAAAACCTCCTGGTCTGAGTTTCACAGTCCATCACATGTGAAAATTTTTAAGTTCTTTATGCTGTGTCAAATATTTAATTACAATCCAAATTCAGTGCAGTATCAAGCTTGAATGTTGTGTCCATACTTGCCCCAACTGTTCAGGGTTCGACCTCTGCGGTCGTATCAAGCTGCGCCCCAGGGGAGCATTTTATTCTGCTGAAGGTTGCTGGTTCTCTTGGGTCAATCTGGCTTCATCCACCAATAAAAACTGATTGCCACTATGGTTACCCCATTTTTAAAGTGCCTTTCCTGGGTACATGGTTTTTTTGATGGAACAGCCTGTTGATATCTGAGGAGTACATTGACAACATGTCTAGACTGGGAATGATTAAGAATGGGATTTGAACTTCTGTTTATCATGATATATGTTTGATTGATTGTGTTGTTCAATTCTTAACTCATTACTGCAAATGCCACATCTTTTACTTTTTAATTGGCCTGGATACATATCTCCTAAAAAAAAAATAAGACACTGCGTAATAAATTTGTAAAAGATTTGTTATGTATTAATGCTTTTAATTGCTTGCCAATGCGTTTGATTTCACTCAGTCATTCAATAATTGAAATATCACTTGTATATTGGTTATAATTTCATTTGTTATTTCAGGATTTTTGGGAAATGTTTTTTCACCATCTAGCTACAATATTTTTACTGACTTTTTCTTGGAGTTTAAATTTTACACGAGTTGGAACTCTAGTTTTAGTGATACATGATGCAGTAGACTTTTGGTTAGAGGTAAGTTTGCTTTTAAGTTCTATTCTGGATAATATAATACTTGATTCTTATTCAAATAAGGAGATACATTCTGTGTCTATAATGATTTCCACTATAACATCTTCTTTTGCATAACACTTCTTACAATTACCTTATAGCTATAGAACTTTCTTATAAAATATTTCTTACATAAAGTCGTGCATAATTTTATTATATTCTTTTATCTGAAAAAATGTGGTTTACACAGATAAACATGGAGTTTGTCACATCTATACAAATGAAGGAGAGGGTGTATAAATTTGTGAGAGGTTATGACCTGTACTGCAGGTCCTAGTTTCTGTGTTCAAAGGCTATTACAGAAACTTATTTTGTGTTTTATAATAGGAAACAGCAAGTATTCCTCAGATGGATGTGAATTGATTTTAAAAAAGGACAACAAATGGTTAGATCAGCCTGAAACAACTATCCTTTATTTAACTTACCCCAAATCACATGTTTTGATGTTTCCCCCTATTTATTTGCATTCATTTTTTTCATGTTTCCAACAATTATTAAAACAAATGTTCCATATTTCTCCTGTAGCCAAATGTTTTTAATGAAATTTGGAAGAATGCATTGGTTGATTACATTTAAAAGGAATTTTAGACAACTTGCCTTGTCTTAGAAAAAAAAGACCAATTTAATCACTTGATCTCTCCTTAAGACCATGGTTGATCAACCTTTTTTGTTTTGAGTTTGCTGACTCTTCTTTTTTCCTAGAGGATCAAAGTTTTCTATCTTGTAGACAGGCTGAGTTGTCTTGTACCTTAAAGTACAATCAGAATCAATACTCAAGAAATTGGCATCTACAAGAATGAATAAAATTTTTATCAGATTTGTTTTATTGTTAATTTTCTTGCATAACTATTAATGTCTTATATTTTTTGAATATTTTTGTGGTGAGGATGTTTCTAAATATAGATTGTAGTCTTTCTTTGGGACCTTTGGAAATATTAGTTTTTTTGGTCAACCTAGAGAATTGATAAAGTCTTAAGAATAACACTTTTTCTGATGTAAGGCTGGACACATAATACATAAGTGCCAAATAATTAAAACAGGTTGGCATGAACCTTTGATTGGGATCATTTTCCAAATTTGAGGAACATACCCACCTAAAATTGCTTCTATAAAATAATTTAATTTTATTAATGATGAGTTTTGCAATAATTAAACAGAATATTTTAAATTATGATATCATTGGTATGCAGGGTTTCCTGAATTCATATTGTTTTTTTTTTTAAATCTCGCATGTGTACAACTTTTGCATTATTAAATGTAATTTTTTCTGAATTAGCAATCCATATGTTTTAATTCCTAACTACTTAAGTAAATATTTAATGTAACATTGACAATACAGGCCCTAGGAGAATAAAGTTAAATTTATATATTTTCAGGGTGCAAAGTGTGCAAAGTATGCTGGATTCCAGAAAATATGTGATGCTGGTTTTGCCATCATGGGTATAGTTTGGTTTGTCACAAGATTAGTTATATACCCTTTCAAGTAAGTTATATACCCTTTCAAGTAAGTTAATAGCCTTTGGAAATTCTCTCTGATTTCCTTTTACTGCATTATAAGATCCCCATTGACTAGTCTGTGGGTGCTCTATTGTGATCACTCTGTCTGTCCGTCTATCTGTCAGTTTGCACTTCTATCTTGTACATTAAGTCAAGATTACCTCCACCATCTGTCTGTCAGCACTTCTTTGTTGTGGATTCAGTCAAGATTGCTCCACCAAATTTCACAGTGTTTATACCTTTAAAAGGAAGGTCCCATCACAAATTTTGAGAAACATTTTTTTGTGTAAGGATTTCAAAAAATTTGATGCATAGGTACAATATGCATTCCAAATCAATCAAAATTGTGGTGAAAACTTAGGTTTTGTTAAAAAATTATTTTTTATGAAGAACTTCTGTTTTTGTCTCCTACGTGACAAGTTTGGGGGACATAAAAATACAAGGCATCTGTCTTGTCAGCAATCTCACAAGTCTCAGACAAGTTCAGAAATCAGTGCCGATCAACTATTTTTATAAGCCCGTTTACGGGACGTATTATGGTATACCTTTGACCGTCTGTTTTAGATTAGATTTTTGATATTTTTTAAACACTTAAATGTCTACTTCAGTCGATTCAATTAGTTTATGTAAAAGATTTGAACTGTAAAGATGCTCTAATTCAAGCTTAAATATGAAAAATCTATCAAATATGCCATAAAATGTCACTTTTCAGATGGTTTTTGTCTAAAATGTAAGTGGCCACATTCGTGTTCAGTCTCAACCTTTATATATGTTATGTATTATCTTCAAATACAACATATATTTGAATATTAAGACTGAACACAAATGTGGCCACTTCCATTTTAGACAAAAACTGTCTTAAAATAAGCACAAATGCTAAATTTGTGAAGATTTCAGTAATTTTGCATGAATTTATGGTGCTAGTACCTGATGCATGTGCATTGTTTTGTCAAAAACAGTTCATATTTATGGAGCTAAAGTATTCTACTTTCCAATGAATAGATAAAAGTTTACATTTCAACAAATTTGTAAAAATGCTATATTTCGGGGCCAAGAAGGGGTCTTACCGGGCCTACCTCTTTAAACATTTCAGGTGCAATAACTCAAATAAGATGTCATCCGATAGCTTTGGACAGAATGTACCATTTCTTCCTCTCAAAAACCTAAACATTTTGCATTAGTTCTTTTTTATCTAGCTTTTATAGTTTAAGAGGAGATGCACATACAAACAATGGACAAAATTGAGAATATGACCTTGACTTTTGTCTTTGACCTTATTTAAGATATATTGCTTTAAGCATGCTATGCTTATTTTGAATTTATCATGTTTATGCTGTTAAAGACTATTTTTATTGATCTATTTTTATAGGGTGTTAAAGACATCTTGGTTTGAGTGCAAGTCTATTGTTGGAATTTACCCGTCATTATACGTTTTCAATGCAATGTTGCTGGTTCTACTTATACTGCATGTATACTGGTTCAAGCTGATAGTGATTGTAGCATACAGAGCTATATGTAAGAGTGACGAGGTAAATACTCATTATTTTTCCTTTGCCATGAAAAGTATGGATTTTTTGGTTGCACTTTTTTATACGGCTGCAAAAAAATTTTTGGGATCGTATAATGGTATGATGTCGTCGTCTGTGTCATCGTCCAAAGACACATTGGTTTCCGGACAATAACTTTAGTTTAAGTGAATGCATCTCTATGAAATTTTTTAAGAAGGTTCAATACCACAAAAGGAAGGTTGGGATTGATTTTGGGGATGATGGTCCCAACTGTTTAGGAATTAGGGGCCTAAAAGGGGCCCAAAACAAGCATTTTTCTAGTTTCAGGATAATAACTTGTGTATAAGTATTTTGATTGCTCTGAATTTGTACCACAATGTTAAATACCACAAGTAGAAGGTTGGGATTCATCTTGGGGGTTATGGGGCCAACAGTTTAGGAATTTAGGGCTAAAAAGGGACCAAAAACAAGCATTTTACTAGTTTCCAGACAATAACTTGTGTGTAAGTGTATGGATCTCTCTGACATTGTAACACAAGGTTCCATATCACAAAGGGAAGTCTGGGATTGAATTTGGGGTAAATTGCCTTAAACGTTCAGGAATTAGGGGCAAAAAAGGGGCCAAAAACAAGTATTTTTCTAGTTTCCAGACAATAACTTGTGTTTAAGTGTATGGATCTCTCTGAAGTTGTACTACAAGGTTCCATACCTCAAAGGGAAGGCTGGGTTTGAGTTTGGGGTAATTGCCCCAAACGTTTAGAAATTAGGGGCAAAAAAGGGGCCAAAAACAAGCATTTTTATACGCCCGTTTACGGGACGTATTATGGAATACCTCTGTCCGTCCGTTGTCAACATGTCGGACATTAACTCAAAAACGCTTTAACCAATTTGCATAAAACTTTGGTAAATTGTTTATATCTATTGACGTGAGCTCCCTTTCGTTTTTTATAAATTTTAGATTTTACGTTTCAGAGTTATGTGGTTTTATTCATTAAAAAAAGGGGGATTTTCCAGTTTTCGCACAATAACTCAAAAATGCTTTCACCAACTTGCAAGGAATTGTGGTGAATTGTTTATATCTATTGACATGAGCTCCCTTTTGTTTTTTATATATTTTAGATTTTTCGTTTCCGAGTTACAGGGTTTTATTCATAAAAAAAGGGGATTTTCCAGTTTTCAGACAAAAAATCAAAAATGCTTTCAGCAGTTCTTATGAAACTTTGGTGAATTGTTTATATCTATTGATGTAAGCTCTGTTTAGAATTTTATAAATTTTACATTTTACATTTCTGAGTTATGGGGTTTTATTCATTAAAAAAGGGGGGATTTTCCAGTTTTCAGACAATAACTCTAAAATGCTGTCAGCAATTCTCATGAAACTTTGGTGAATTGTTTATATCTATTGATGTAAGCTCCCATTACATTTTCATAAATTTCTAATATGACATTGAGAATAAATTGAACTTTAATTGTTTATAGTCTGACAACAGATTTACTAAGTATTGCGCAACAGCACAGTGTATTGCACAACAGCAAGAAATCTTTAATTGAATATAAATTCAATTCATATAACCAATTTCAAGTTCTTTGACTACATTTATTCAAAAACCTATAATATGTCAAATATTTGATACAATCCAAATTCAGACCTGTATCAAGCTTGAATATTGTGTCCATTTTTGCCCCTACAGTTCAGGGTTGGACCTCTGTGGGCATATCCAGCTGTGCTCAGCGAAGCAGTTTATTCTAGTTTCCAGACAATAACCAATAACTTGTGTTAAAGTTTATGGAACTCTCTGAAATTGTACATTTTTCCTGAAAAGAAAATAATCTTCAAAATTTCAAAAAAAAATTTTGAGGGGGGGGGGGGGGGGGGTTCAAATTTTATTTTTGGGGTTCATAGACACAATGCTTATTACCACAAAACACAGATCAAGTTGAATTTGGGTGGTGTCACTTTTACCTTTCTAGAGTTATGCCCTTTACAAATGTAAAAATTGCTAACCTAAGTTTGCCTCAACCAAATTTTATGAAACTTATACACAATGCTTATTACTACAAAACAAAAAAATAACAAATTTGGGTAGCATCACTTTTACCGTTCTTCAGTTATGTCCATTTATAACTTTATATGATATGCAAGCGGGGGCATCATCTGTGTCCCATGGACACATTCCCCATTTTTATTCATAAAAAAGTGGTGATTTTCTAGTTTTCGGACAATACCTTTAAAGTGCTTTTAGCAGTTTTCATTAAACTTTGGTGACTGGTTTATATCAATGAAGATAACCTCCCTTTAGTTTTTCACAAATTTCTGATATGACATTGAGAAGTTATTGAACTTTATTCGTTAAAAATGCGACGTTCGTATCATGCACTCATGGCGCAGCTGTTTATTTTTAGTGAACTACATATTTCCCATTTTTGTAACATGACCATTAAACATTATTCTCTTAATCGTAAAACAGAACATAATTTCATGCCAAATAACAACAATTATCAATCATAATGATTCACTTTAGTAGTTTAAACGTAAATACTCGAATACTAACTGCAACTTGATTATTCTGAAGAAATTTCTTTTCGTAATTTGGAATTCATTTCGAAGTTAACAATCAAATTAATACATCTGGGTTACATTCAGAATGGAAGATGCATGTCATATGCTCTATTACTGTGGAATTTGCAGTTTTAAGTCATTAAAACCATTTAAGTTTTAATCTTTTGCCCTCCACAAATCTGTATTCAATATTTTACTAAATTGGGTAAGAAACTTCTTGTTGATGCTGCAAATCATTGATCCTGGTCGTGACAAAATTACCAAAATAGCGAGACGACTCTGGGAAAATTCTGAGGGAAAAAAATTTTGACGTTAACTAGGTTAACAGGATAGCTGAATTGCGATTAACCTTGACTAAGAGGAGCCATGCAGGCTTGACATTGGAATTGTTAAAAATGACAATTAATAATATATAAGTCTATTCACTATTCTTTACAATGAAATGTAGGAATGAAATATTTTCGATTATGACACGCAGGGTTTCGTCCTGGTGAGAGTTTTTCCATCGTTAAATTTTCACCCATGGAGATCCCTGCAGCTTATCTTACACCTATTCCAAATAAACATAGATGGTAGTTCATTTTATGAAAGAAGGGAGATAATTTGCAACCTCCAATTCAACCTGTGTCACCTCAAGCATTATTTGAAATGATAGTTCAAACTGATTCCAAAATATATGGTCTTTAAGTACTTTTCTGTAAAATAGTGGAGATGATAAGTTATTCCCAGTTTACTAAGGTCACTTTTTGCGTCATATGTGGTTTACTTACACTTTCTAATATATATATGGTTTCTAGGAACTTTTCCTTGAAATAAGTAATAAAAACTACTATTTCCTGTTTGCAGAAGGTCACTTCTGGTTGACAGTCAATGCCTTCAATCTTTATCCAAAAGACCCCAAGGCTTCGTCATGCTGTAGTTTGAAGTTTTAAACAATAAATCTTTGATTAATTAAACATTTAAGGGGCAATTACTCCTATAAAATTTCATAGATCAATTTGGACAAAAATTACGATGTTTTCATCCAAAATGTAATCACCTCTGTGGTCTCGTGGTAGCATGCTCGCCTCAAGTGCAGGAGGTCATGGGTTCAAATCCTGGCCAGATAAATCTTAGACTTTAAAATTGGTATTTGCTGCTTCTCTGCTAAGCACGCCACATTAAGGAATGTGAGCAAAGACTGGTCAGCTGGAGTCGGAATAAGGTGTCAGTGTAGGGTGACATGTTTTCCTGCGGATTGTTCACTTGTAAACTAGCATGTTATAAATCCTGCATAGCGGGTTGGTCTTGTACTCTTGTACAAAACAAGGTGAATATTCATGTTGCATAAAAATTTTCTCCTCCTGAATATATATTTTATTTGCAGCTGAACATTAAACAGCAATCCATCATCATCATTCCCAAATAACCAAAACTTTGTTCACCAATCTTTTAAAGCTATCTTTTGATCTTGCAGAGGAGACGAGATTACAAGCAAATGTCAAAAATTAAAACATGAACTTGACCTTAAATTCAATTTCCAGATTATGGCCTAAGGTTTAAAAAATCCTAGATCTTTACGGCTAATGGTTTGTGAGTTACATCAACATTTTTGCTAACTAAAATAACAAAGGGGAAATAACTCCTTTTATCTTTCAGCAGATGGCTTCTGTCAAGATGACTGAGGATATAACAATTTTAAAAAAATAAGTTTGCTGACATCTTTCACTTTTTAGCTCACCGGGGCCCGAAGGGCCCCATGTGAGCTTATGCCATCACTTGGCGTCCCTCGTCGTCCGTCGTCTGTCATCGTCGTCGTCGTCTGTCGTCATAAACTATTTCAAAAATCTTCTCCTCTGAAACTACTGGGCCAAATACCTTCAAACTTTAACTAAATGTTCCTTAGGGTATCTGGTTTATAAATTGTATCCGTAGTTTTGATCCATCGGCAAACATGGCCGCCATGGCTAAAAATAGAACATAGGGGTCAAATGCAGTTTTTATATGACCGCAAAAAAATTTTTGTGGTCGTATATTGGTATGACGTTGGCGTCTCCATCGTCGCCGTCTTCCAAAGACACATTAGTTTTCGCACTCTAACTTTAGTTTAAGTGAATGGATCTCAATGAAATTTTACCATAAGGTTCAATACCACTAAAAGAAGGTGGGGATTGATTTTGGGGGTTATGGTACCCACAGTTAAGGAATTAGGGGCCAAAAATAAGCATTTTTGTAACTTCCAGACATAATTTGTGTGTAAGTGTATGGATCTTTATGAAATTGTACTACAAGGTTCCATATCACAAAGGGAAAGCTGGAATTGAGTTGGGGGTAATTGCCCAAAAAGTTTAGGAATAAGGGGCCAAAAATAAGCATTTTTCTAGTTTCCAGACAATAACTTGTGTTCAAGTGTATGGATCTCTCTGAAATTGTACTGCAAGGTACCATACCACAAAGTGAAGGTTGTGATTGAGGTGGGGGATGATGAATCAAAAGGGGGTTGAAAAAATGTGTGGGGGGTAGGATTTTTTTTTTTCCTTTTTTTTTCTTTAAAATTTTCCATTTAAAGATGGTTGTTTCAGATTTATATATGAAAGAAAATAATAATGATACGGTTATATATCATGAGGAATTGAAATTTAAAATTATGTATATTGGAAATTTAGGTTACATTGGAAAGTAATAATTGGCTTTGGGGGGGGGGGGGGGGGGGGGGGGGGGGGGGTGGTTATGGCTCTAATGTTTAAGGAATAAGGGGAAAAAAGGTTAAAAAACAAGGGTTTCCATTTTAATAGACAAATAATTGAGTAAAGAACATTATTTAAAAGCAGTGTAAGGTTGGTAATTCAAACTCATTTAAATATCTCATCTACACTGCTTTTAAATTATGTAAATTGGAAATTTGCCAATAACTTTATTGTTAATAAATGCATTGGAAATTTGCCAACAATTTTAGTGTAATAAACTTCATTGGAAATTTGCCAATATAAAATTTTGCTGATGAAGGTTTTTTGTTTACCTTTAGCCTTGACTATGAAGTCATTTTCTATTTTTATAGCCTTATGATGTAGTTGAATTATTTAATACTTTTATGATGTGTTTTAATGGGGTTTTATCATGTTTATGGTTGCAAATTTATTGTTTTAGTATAATAAACTCCATTTAAAATTTGCCAATAAAAAAATTTTTTGTTTATTTTTAGCTATGATTATGATGTCATTTTCTATTTTACTTTTATGGTTGCAAAGAAATTTTTATTTTTATACGACCGCAAAAAAATTTTTGTGGTCGTATATTGGTATGACGTTGGCGTCGTCGTCGTCGTCGTCGTCCGGCGTCGTCGTCCGAATACACATTAGTTTTCGCACTCTAACTTTAGTTTAAGTAAATGGATCTCATTGAAATTTTACCATAAGGTTCAATACCACAAAAGGAAGGTGGGGATTGATTTTGGGGGTTATGGTACTAACAGTTAAGGAATTAGGGGCCAAAAGGGGCCAAAAATAAGCATTTTTGTAACTTCCAGACATAACTTGTGTGTAAGTGTATGGTTCTCTCTGACATTGTACCACAAGGTTCCATATCACAAAGGGAATGCTGGGATTGATTTTGGGGGTAATTGTCTCCAAATTTTAGGAATTAGGGGCCAAAAAGGGGCAAAAAACAAGCATTTTTCTAGTTTCATGACAATAACTTGTTTGTAAGTGTATGGATCTTTATGAAATTGTACTACAAGGTTCCATATCACAAAGGGAATACTGGGATTGATTTTTTGGGGTAATTTCCTCCAAATATTAGGAATTAGGGGCCAAAAAGGGGCAAAAAACAAGCATTTTTCTAGTTTCATGACAATAACTTGTTTGTAAGTGTATGGATCTTTATGAAATTGTACTACAAGGTTCCATATCACAAAGGGAAGGCTGGGATTGATTTTGGGGGTTTTCCCTCAAAATTTTAGTAATTAGGGGCCATAAAAGGGCAAAAAAAACATGCATTTTTCTAGTTTCAGGACAATAACTTGTGTGTAAGTGTATGGATCTTTATGAAATTGTACTGCAAGGTTCCATATCACAAAGGGAAAGCTGGAATTGAGTTTGGGGGTAATTGCCCTAAACGTTTAGGAATTTGGGGCCAAAAAGGGGCCAAAAAACAAGCATTTTTCTAGTTTCCAGACAATAACTTGTGTTCAAGTGTATGAATCTCTCTGAAATTGTACTGCAAGGTACCATACCACAAAGGGAAAGCTGGGATTGAGTTTGGGGGCGATGAATCATAAGGGGGTTCAAAAAATTGGGGGGGGGGGATTTATTTTTTCCTTTTTTTTCTTTAACATTTTCCATTTTAAATTGGTTATTTCTGATTTATATATAAAAGCAAATAATAATGATATGGTTTGAATAGGCATACATGTGAACCTCCCGATGGGAGTACAATAATCCCGTTTTCAGGGGTCTCCTCCCGACCTCCCGTTGAAAAAATCCCGTGTATGAAATTTTTCATGAATGAAAAATTTCTGCCCAACATAACATCTCAGGCATCTGGTGTAACTGACATTACCTGAAGTTATATTTTACCTGTAAATCAATTAACATGCATAATTATATGGCTTCACTTGTCAGCTTGGGTGTCAAACATACTGGTAAGCAACGATTTTTACCTCAGGCTAACTGCCGTTGTGTAACAAAAACTGTGTATTTATTGGGTTACTTCCCTTGATTTATCCTGTTTTAAGTTACTTTCCTTTTAATAATGAAAATTTTTTAAAGAATATAAATAAAATATAAATTGAACAAATAATCATAAAAGGATGGTTATTAAATGATTTTAAATGTCTTAGGACAAATAAAAAAATAATAATTTGAAAATTATTTGAGGATTCTATACTTCCTTTTAAGGCTTAAATTGAAATTTATATAATAACTATGACCCGAATTTTACAGATAGAATGAATTTCTGAGTTTGCAAATAAAAACTATTTGCAAGAGAAAAAAATAAAAAATAAAAACTATTTGCAGACAGCTAAACAAATGTTCTGGTTGCAATGATTGTTTTATAGAATATGAAGTAAAAAATTTAAAGAACATACTGGAAAAAAACAATGTTAAATTGAACATGTAGAATATAAAGATGGAGAAACTTTATAAGTACAAGGGAACTATAAACATAATAAATTGGTTGGAAAGTTGAAGAAAACACACTTTAAAAGACCATTTTTACAGCACACGGTTACATTTACAACAAAATTAATGTCGATTAAAAACCTCCTGATCTGAGTCCTAATCTCCTGACCAAAATTTCCCAATCTCCTGATTTGAGTTTCACAGTCCATCACATGTATGAATAGGTAAATTGAAAATTTTTAAGTTCTTAGACCACTTTCATTCTGTGTCAGAAACCTATGCTGTGTCAAATATTTAATTACAATCCAAATTCAGTGCTGTATCAAGCTTGAATGTTGTGTCCATACTTGCCCCAACTGTTCAGGGTTCGACCTCTGCGGTCGTATCAAGCTGCGCCCCAGCGGAGCATTTTATTAGATATTACTGTTAAATGATGCTGATTAAGGTTTTTGCTATGTTTAGCCATGACTTTGATGTCATTTTCTATTTTAATATCTGTTATGATGTATTTAAATGGGCTTTTATGGTTACAAAGGAATTTTATTTTTAGATATTACTATAAAATGTTGCTGATGCTGATTAAGGATTTTGTTTATTTTTAGCCATGACTATGATGTCATTTTCTATTTTAATACCTTTATGATGTAATTTCCATTTTTAGATATTACTGTTAAATGATGCTGATTAAGGGTTTTTTGCTATGTTTAGCCATGACTATGATGTCATTTTCTATTTTAATATCTTTATGATGTATTTAAATGGGCTTTTATGGTTACAAAGGAATTTTATTTTTATACGACCGCAAAAAAATTTTGTGGTCGTATATTGGTATGACGTTGGCGTCGTCGTCGTCGTCCGGCGTCGTCGTCGTCGTCCGGCGTCGTCGTCCGAAGACACATTGGTTTTCGCACTCTTACTTTAGTTTAAGTGAATGGATCTTTTTGAAATTTGACCATAAGGTTAAATACCACAAAAGGAAGGTGGGGATTGATTTTGGGGGTTATGGTACCAACAGTTAAGGAATAAGGGGCCAAAAAGGGGCCAAAAATAAGCATTTTCTAGTTTCCAGACAATAACTGTGGAACGGTGTATGGATCTCTCTGAAATTATACTACAAGTTTCCATACCACAAAGGGATGGTTAGGATTTGCTTTGGGGGGTTATGGCTCAAACCGTTTAGGAATTAGGGGCAAAAAAGGGGGAAAAACAAGGTTGTCCTGGTTAATGGACAAATACTTTAGTACAAAACATAATTTAAAGCAGTGTAAGGGAGATAAATCAAATACATCATTGAAATTATCTCCCTTACACTGCTTTTAAATTATGTATAAAGTAATGGTTAATGAACAATAAAGATAATTTAAAACAGTGTAAGGGAGGTAATCCAAATACAACGTTTTGGTTACTTCCCTTACACTGCTTTTAAATTATGTTTAAAGAAATGCATATTTATAAAGGAAGACCAGTAAAAATATCTGCAAATGTTGCATCTTTTTTTTTTACAAAAAAATCCATATGAAAGATTTGACACTATATTCTATTATAAAATAGATTAAGTTAGCACTATGGTAAATTTAAATGGGTAATTATGGTTGCCAACTCCATTGGAAATTTGAATTGAGATTATGACCATATCTTGAGGGAAAGAATTTTTTGGGGGAAAAAAAGGAGGGGGGGGGGGGGGGATAAAAAGAAATTGTGGGGGGTCAATTTTTTCTCATTTCAGATTTCAGAAATTAAAAAGAATTATTTTTTTTTTTTCAAATTTCAAATATTGAAAAATTTCAAGAAGTAATCTTTAATTGCACAGTATGGCGCATTAGATTTGTAAAATCTTTGATCACATTTATTTATTTGTTATGCCGAATCTAACAGTGTATTTAGATTTTTAATTTTGGATCCAGTTTTCAAATTGGTCTACATTAAGGTCCAAAGGGTCCAAAATTAAACTTTGTTTGATTTTAGCAAAAATTGAATATATGAGGTTCTTTGATATGCTGAATCTAAACATGTATTTAGATTTTTGATTTTTGGCCCAGTTTTCAAGTTGGTCCAAATTGGGGTCCAAAATTAAACTTTGTTTGATTTCAACAAAAATTGAATATATGGGGTTCTTTGATATGCTGAATCTAACCATGTATTTAGATTTTTTATTTGTGGACCCCGTTATCAAATTGGTTCATATTGAGGTCAAAAGGGTCCAAAATTAAACTTTGTTTGATTTCATCTAAAATTGAATTATTGGGGTTCTTTGATATTCCAAATCTAACTGTGTATTTAGATTTTTAATTTTGGGTCCTGTTTTTTAAATTGGTCTACATTAAGGTCCAAAGGGTCCAAAATTAAACTTAGTTTGATTTTAACAAAAAATGAATTCTTGGGGTTCTTTGATATGCTGAATCTTAACATGTGTTTAGATTTTTGATTATGGGCCCAGTTTTCAAGTTGGTCCAAGATAGGGTCCAGTATTTAAACTTTGTTTGATTTCAACAAAAAATGAATATATGGGGTTCTTTGATATGCTGAATCTAAACATGTATTTAGATTTTTGATTATGGGCCCAGTTTTCAAGTTGGTCCAAATTGGGGTCCAAAATTAAACTTTGTTTGATTTCAACAAAAATTGAATATACGAGGTTCTTTGATATGCTGAATCTAACCATGTATTTAGATTTTTTATTTGTGGGCCCCGCTATCAAATTGGTTCATATTGAGGTCAAAAGGGTCCAAAATTAAACTTTGTTTGATTTCATCAAAAATTGAATTATTGGGGTTCTTTGATATGCCAAATCTAACCGTGTTTTTAGATTTTTAATTTGGGTCCCGTTTTTTAAATTGGTCTTCATTGAGGTCCAAAGGGTCCAAAATTAAACTTAGTTTGATTTTAACAAAAATTGAATTCTTGGGGTTCTTTGATATGCTGAATCTAAACATGTGTTTAGATTTTTGATTATGGGCCCAGTTTTCAAGTTGGTCCAAGTTGGGGTCCAAAATTAAACTTTTTTTGATTTCAACAAAAATTGAATATAAGGGGTTCTTTGATATGCTGAATCTAACCATGAATTTAGATTTTTTATTTGTGGGCCCCGCTATCAAATTGGTTCATATTGAGGTCAAAAGGGTCCAAAATTAAACTTTGTTTGATTTCATCAAAAATTGAATTATTAGGGTTCTTTGATATTCCAAATCTAACCGTGTATTTAGATTTTTAATTTTAAGTCCCGTTTTTTAAATTGGTCTACATTAAGGTCCAAAGGGTCCAAAATTAAACTTTGTTTGATTTCATCTAAAATTGAATTATTGGGGTTCTTTGATATTCCAAATCTAACCGTGTATTTAGATTTTTAATTTTGGGTCCTGATTTTTAAATTGGTCTACATTAAGGTCCAAAGGGTCCAAAATTAAACTTAGTTTGATTTTAACAAAAATTGAATTCTTGGGGTTCTTTGATATGCTGAATCTAAACATGTGTTTAGATTTTTGATTATGGGCCCAGTTTTCAAGTTGGTCCAAGTTGGGGTCCAAAATTAAACTTTGTTTGATTTTAACAAAAAATGAATATATGGGGTTCTTTGATATGCTGAATCTAACCATGTATTTTGATTTTGGACATTGGACCATAATAGGTAAATTAAAAAAATTCAAGTTCTTAGACCACATTCTTTCTGTGTCAGAAACCTATGCTGTGTCAAATATTTAATAACAATCCAAATTCAGAGCTGTATCAAGCTTGAATGTTGTGTCCATACTTGCCCCAACTGTTCAGGGTTCGACCTCTGCGGTCGTATCAAGCTGCGCCCCAGCGAAGCATTTTATTAGATATTACTTTAAATGTTGCTGATTAAGGATTTTTGTTTATTTTTAGCCATGACTATAATGTCACTTTCTATTTTAATACCTTTATGATGTATTTAAATGGGCTCCCATGTATTTAGATTTTTGATTATTTATACATGTTACCAAATTGGTCCACATTGAACAAAAACGGTCCAAATTTCAACTTTATTACATTACATCAAACATTGAATTCTACATATTCTTTGATATATTGAAATTAACAAACAATTTAGTTTATGGATATTCCACCATAATAGGTAAATTAAATTTTTTCCAGTTCTTACACCACATTCATCCTGTGTCAGAAACCTATGCTGTGTCAAATATTTAATGACAATCCAAAGTCATAGCTGTATCAAGCTTGAATTTTGTGTCCATACTTGCCCCAACTGTTCAGGGTTCGACCTCTGCGGTCGTATCAAGCTGCGCCCCAGCAAAGCATTTTATTTGTTATTATTTTGAATATTATTTTAGAGATATATAAACTGTAAGCAGCAATAATGTTCAGCAAAATAAGATCTACAAAAAATTTAAATGACCAAAATTGTCAATTGACCCCTTAAGGAGTTATTGCCCTTTAAAGACAATTTTACACAATTTGTTCAAGTTTGCTAACATTTAAAAATCTTCTCCTCTGAAATACAGGTGAGCGATTCAGGCTCTTGAGAGCCTCTTGTAATTGATTGATTGTTGGTTGCTTAATCTTTCACATTTATGAAGGAGATACTATAACAAGAAAAATAGTGTTAGGGGAGATAACTCTTTCACAGAAAGTGTTCCATTAAACAGGGTTAGTTTTAAACGGGTAATAATTGTTCAATATCATATACCATATAAGCACAGTTTTAAGTGTATAATTTAGATAAAAGATTAATCAAGGGGTGTAGCTCCAAAATACTTTCAAATGTGTTTGAAAATACATGTACAAATGAATAAATTTTAGCATGGTAACCTTAGGCTGCCAAACAGTGTCCGTTCATTTACATGAAAACGCTTTGATGAAAATTTTTTCAAATTTTTATATGTTGTTTCCTGTGACTTAATGAAGGTCAAGTTCAATTTTCACGACTTTAGCTTATCTCGTTCTTGAATTTTGGACCCTTTTAGAAACCACAAATTTACTTATTATGTGATTGAGTTATTTCCATTTGAACAGAAATTAATAAGTTTATGTATAGCTGAGATGTATAGATAGTCTATCAATGATTGTATCTGTTCAATTGATTAGTCAGGAGTTGTCAAAAATTTCTTCATAACTATTTTTTTTTAAGTCATGTGTGTTTTGAAGGTAGATGTCACAGTTGTTATGTGGTATTTTATTTTTGTTGTGTGTGTTAATGTTTAAATTTTACTTGATCCTGTTTGGGTGTCCAGATTTGCAAATTTCATTTTCATTAGGTAATAATCTATTTTTGTTAAAGGATATATTTCATTACATTACATTGTGTAGATAAAGTTGTTGACGTTGATAGATAAGTTGCAGATAAGATATTAGTTTGTGACAAATGAAAGAAAAAATATTGGGAACTATTAATTATATTTGATCATAATTTGAAAACATCATATCTAATTTTAGAGAACAATTTTTTAGTGGCGAAACCATATCTAATTTTAGATTTGCATTACTGGTTCATTGAAAGAGGTTTGAGTTATTTCCCTTTGAACAGAAATTGTTTTAATTAATAAGTATTTCATCAAAAAATTGAATTTTTGGGGTTCTTTGATATGCTGATTCTAATAATGTACTTAGATTTTGGATATTGGACCATAATAGGTAAATGTCCAATTTCATTTTTTTCAGTTCTTTGACCACATTTATTTTGTGTCACAAACCTATGCTGTATCAAATATTCAATCACAATCCAAATTCAGAGCTGTTTTAAATGTTGTGTCCATACTTGCTCAACTGTTCAGGGTTCGACCTCTGCAGGAAAATCTGGTTTGCTGTCACTCTGACAGCTTCTTGTTATCATTTTACTCTTATAGTCTTTATCATCAGTCATAGTTACCAAAATGTTGCTGAAGTGTTGAAAAGTGGACTTTGGCTTGCTGTTTCCAATGGCGAAGACAGTGTCCATAGCTACAATGCATTAGTTTGTGATTAGGTCAATTTAAAGGTAACCACTAGTGGTCAATAGTATTTTGTATGCAATGGTATAAGCATTGTCATTTCTCCTTTCCACAGAGGTTATTTGGCCCTGCACCTTTAGTCATGGTTCATTGACTTTGAATGTTTTGCATAGTTAACATGTTTAAGTTTTGCTATTTTAACTTCAACAATTGCATTATACTATACAAGTTACATAAAGGCAAGA